AAAGAACATGTTAGAGATGCTGGGGATGTAGCAGTGAAGAAGAAAAAACTTGCATGACCCATACCTTTAGAAGCTTAGAGTTTAATGTGAGAGAAAAAAAAAAGTCATACACTTAAAAAATAGAGTTTTGAACTGTGTTATAAGCCAGGGAGAAGAATTTCAAGGTGACCTGAGAGGACAAAAGAGAATGTGGTTTTCCTCCCATCTCCTCATCGGGCCAACTGGGGCTGAGGGAACTAAGAGAGCTCACGATGGAAACATTCAGTCCTTAATGCCAACTCTGAGGACCAGAGGCACCTGCCTCCTTTCTACTCAGCAGTCTAGAGTGACTGGTGACTTTCCGGGAGGCAGGAAGGGGCTCCTGGGCTCTGAAGTCTGGGACCCATTGACTTTCACCAACCACTTCTTTGATCAATATTTGATGGGTTTCTCTTACTCACTATTTCTGGAATTTGCCTTTTCTAGATTAATAAAACACAGATGTGAATTGACATTTCAGATTTGTCCTTGAGAGTTGTGTGTTTCCTCCCCCACTCACTTTCCATGCGTAGTCAACCATTGCCCCACCAGTGTGGGCACAGAGCAGGTTAAGGGCATGGACTCTGACATAGACCTGTGGGTTCACATCCAGGCTCTACTACTTTTGGCATGAGAGCTGGAGCAAAGTACACAACTTCCATGTGCTTCAGTTTCCTTCTCTGTAAAATGGGAATAAGAATAGTACTCACCTCATATCCTATTTACAGGATTAAGAGGTAATACCAAGTAAGCACTCAATCAGCTGCTAATATCTATCCAGTTGTGAGTTAGTCCTTCTTTTCCCACCTGAAACCTGCATGAGCATCTATTTCTCTTTTAACCCAAAGTCCTGCATAAAGTGGAAATGAACACTTTTTAATTTTTTTCTCCAAGGAATTCTTTTACTAAAAGCTTTAACCAGAAAGGTAAACTTGACTCAAAACCAGCTAGAGGAGAGAATGAGTGCATTTATATTGCTCATCTCATAGTAAATCACTTAATAATCCTCCATTTCCATGTCTCAGATACCTCTTTTCAGCTGCATTGTTACCGTTCTCTCCTCCATTGCCACCTTGCACCATTCTTCTCTAAAATGCAGAAAAATTTAATTCAGCGCAAATTCTCTCCCTAAACTGAGTAGTATACTTTTCCAGGTGCTCAGTAAGGCCCTATGCTGGCCCTCGCTTGTTTGGAGGTACAAGGGTGGCCATCATTAGCTTTTTGTGCAGGTATAGGTAATTCCTTCAAACACACACACAGAGCTTTACACAGAAGGAATAATCACGAACAAAATTTTCTTCATTTCTTTACATACATGTTTCCAGGTGACTTTAATTTCATTTAAAAATTCTTATTTTACATTTAACTCAAATCTCCACTCCCCTTAGTATTCCCATTAATTCATTCATTTATTCGTCGAATAAAAATTTCTTGAATACCCACGGTGTCCTCCATATGGAGCTAGGCACTGGGGACACAACAATGGACAAGAAATGGACAATGAGAACTTCCTGTTCTCATAAAGCGTACACATTGAGTCTTTGTAGTCCAAGAACACTGGCTTTCCTCACACCTGTCATAGCAAGTGGTCACATTTCTCTCACATCCCTAAAGCATGATCTTCTTTCTCTTTGGTGGATGGCTGCTCTCAGTCACTGTGGTTGGCCCGTGTTCATGCCTGGGGCCTCCAACTTTCTGCTTCTGAGAGGAAACCTCTGTGCCAGGACAGAAGGAATGCTGGGTCTAGAGCTTTGTCGCTACCCCACAGAGCCTGTCCCAGACTTTTCTCCACCTGCATCCCGGGGCACATAACATGGCCTAGAATAGTGAATAGGCTATTTGGACCATATAATGCCCATGGGACCATTCCCATGTATGTAGAGAGGCTGTGTGCCAGTAGAGGGAGCTTGGGATTTACAGTCAGCAAGAACAGGGATTGAATATAGGTTCCAGGACTCACTGGCCTTTGATAAATTACTTAATCTCTACAAACTATCATTTCCCTCCTATGTAATACTTACCTATCAGGGTGTTCGTGGAATCAGTGATCATACAGCAGATGCTCAACTCTTGTTTGTGTTCCCAGGGGCACCAGTGGAAGGTTTTTGAGCACGGATCCAACCATCCCAACCTGGGAGACCAAACTCATCAATGAATGGAAGTGACGATGCCCTTCCTCTAACTTACGACATGGAGATCCTGATCTCGAGCGTGCTGGTCTTCATCATTGCCCTGGGTGGGCTGGCGGGAAACATGATTTTGCTCTGGCTCCTGGACTACTGCAGGCAGAGGAACACATTATTTGTCTACATCCTCAACCTTGCTGGGGCCGACTTCTTCCTCTGCTGCCAGATTATACATTCCCTGGTGGAATTCATCACCTTTTTCATTCCATATCCATCCCCTATTTCTTCAACACTGTGATGACCTTTCCCTACATTGTGGGCCTGAGCATTCTCAGTACCTTAAGCACCAAACACTGCAAGTCTATCTTGTGCCCCATCTGGTATCACTGCCACCACCCAAGACACATATCAGCTGTCGTATGTGCCCGGCTCTGAGTCTTGTTCCTGCTGCTGAACTTCCTGGAATGGATCTACCGCGGCTACCTGTATAGCAACTTTGAGGATAGTTGGTGTCAGGCATTTGATATTTCCAATACCATCTGGATGATTTTTTTTATATGTGGTTGTCTCTGGGTCCAGCCTGGCCCTGCTGACCAGGATCCTCTGTCTCTCCCAGTGGATGCATCTGACCAGGCTCTCTGTGGTCATCCTGCTCACAGTGCTGGTCTTTCTCTTCTCTGGTCTGCCCATCCTCATCCAATGGTTCTTTTGGTTTGGGGATCAATCTGATTACAATTCATTCTTTTATTTTTGTCTGATTGGGGTTGTCTTCTTCTGTGTTAACAGCAGCACCAAACCCATCATTTACTTCCCCATGGGCTCCTTTAGGCAGGGACAGTGGAGGCCAACCCTTCAGTTGCTTTTCCAGAGGGCTCTGCAGGACACTCCTAAGGTTGATGGATGTGGAGGAAGCCTCTTTAGGAAATCACGGATATATTGGAAAGGAAATTGGTGCCATAATCAAGAGCCTCTACTCTGGTCAATCAGATGTGACTAGAGTCAACATTTCTCTGCCAGACTTGATAATTATCTGCACTTCTCTCAGCCTCATGCCTCTGATGTGCCTCAGTCACTCCCTGTGTCTTCAAATAGATTGTTTTTTAATTTACCTGGTTGTTTAGTTTTTCTCAGAGAAAACATTAATCTAAAAGTAGAAGCTCTGACCAGACTTAATGGTCTGACAGAGATTGGAGAAATCTCGAGAGTATGGCCCCCGGACACCCTTTTAACCCAGTACTGAAGTCATTCCTGAGGTTCACCCTTCAGCCAAAGATTAGACAGGGCCATAAAACAAAAGGAGACTAAATAGGCACACCAGCCCAGGGGCAAGGACGAGAAGGCAGGAGGGGACAGGAAAGCTGGTCGTGGGGAACCCAAGGTTGAGAAGCAGAGAGTGTTGAAATGTCATGGGGTTGGCAATGAATGTCACCAAACAATATGTGTATTAATTGTTTAATGAGAAACTATTTGCTCTGTAAACCTTCATCTAAAGTACAATTAAAATAATAATAATAATAAAGAATCCAAATAGATAAACCGAAGTAGGAGCTCTCTATCTTTCTCTGTTACAAATAAATTTATCACTTCATCTTCTCTGAATCTTTTCTTATTCCACACCTTTTACTGCTGGTTTTATTACAATGGAAAGAATCTCTGTTCAAAACCATAATCCCCTTATTTATGACTGTTTCTTGCCTGGTAGTATAGAAAAAAAGAAAGTCCTTATGTTTCTCTTAGATGGTTCCCTGAGAAACACGTTTGGTTCTGTGATTGGGTGCGTTGCTACAGGTGGAGAGCTTGGTTCTGACTGAGTGACTCCTGCTATCTCTCGATCTCATTAGGTTTCTTGTCTTCAGGAAATAATTTCCTTAGAGACAGACTTCAGCCCACGCAGAAACTGTACAAGAAATTGGCCTTTTGAAAAGTCCTTGGAAGCATTTGTCTCTGGCATTGTGACTATTTGGCCTTGAGCTCTAGTAACCAAAAACATGGCCTCTGCACCTTGAATGCTTTTCAGTGGTGTTACCTCTGGACCTAGCCAGTGTAGATTCTAGAATTGTGTCCCACCAGTTCCGATTTTGCCACCGACAACCTCAGAGTTGGTTTTGAAGTAGAAATTATCTTGGAAACCATTTATTTCCAAGACCTATCATTATAATCTCTACCTTGCACACACCCTCCACCATTGCCATGCTCCCCCTCTGCTGCACTTGCCAGACAGAACCCCTCCCTGGTTAAATTCAACTCTCCATTCACTCTCCACCTGTTCCTGGGAGCCGAGTGTGGCTGGGATGTGTGCCAAATTCTTTACATCTTACAGGGAACTCAATCGATCTAGTTAACACTGATAAATTAAAAAAATAGAAATAAAAGTCTACAACACAAAGCTATAATCATATCTAATAAAGTGATTAAGAAAGGAAATGTAACATGTTGTTACTTCTGAAGAAGAGTATTTGAGAAGACTTTGATACACTTCTGTGTCATTTGAAAAGAAATTTTAAACATGCATGCGTTACTGCTATGATATTTTTTAAAAAAGGGTGGGACAGGCCACAGTAGGCTTTGAATGCCAAGCAAAGGAAGGTGTGCTTCATTTTTAGTTATAAAAGCCTCTCAGTGCAGGATCACATTGCGTGACATTGCTGCTCATGCACAGATGACTGAGAAAGGCTCCAGAACGGCAATCATATACACGGAGGAGGATCAGATAAGGAGGGGATGGTCAGAGGTTGAGATACATGAGTAGACTCAGAACATATGTTGAGAAACATCTCTTGAGGGGTCATGACTCTAACAACTCCGCACTCTAATTACACAGCAGGAAATTACAGGGCTGTCCAGCATCTAGATAAGCCTTACTCAGGAATCAACTTTTACTGCGTCTCTTGCAGGCACCTCTTCAAGACAGAGAAGCATCTTACAGCAACTGTCAATCCCAGGAGGGCTCTCCCCCTTCAGCCAGGTGAGCTCTCCACCTCCAGCCAGGAGAATGGAGGAGAGGTAAGAGTTTACCAAGAACTGTCTTATTTCCAAAGCCACCATTGTGATTTTCCTCTTACTCCACATCTGCATCGCTCTACCACTCCACCATGGCCTGGGACACTCAGGGAGCCATGGGGGTTCCATCAGGAAAAGGCAGGAGACATGAAGCTCCCTCCTGGCAATGCTAGGTGCTGGCACCCTCGACTGTGGGAGATGTGAATGGGGTCAACCAGGATGGTTCCCCCTTCTGAATCATCTTTCTATTCTCCCTTTCCTTCCAACCATTCAATTCTGCTGCCAGTGAGAAATCTGCTACTTTCGGTTTTTTAGGGAGAAAAATAGTGTACACACGTAGCTTCTCAGTGCTGAAGAGCTATTAATAACTCAGGCTTCCCTATTTTACTTGCTTTCAAAAGTTTTCCCCTTTGTGTATCTGTCAGGGTCCTGGATGGAAATAAATGGCCAAAACTGGGATAACTGAGGATCTTTAATGAAGAGACTATTTACAAAGATGGGAAAGTTACAAGGGATGGTGAAATCGCCAATAGAGGAAGCTGTTATCACTCTTAAGACTGAAAGGGCAAGGAGAAGGAGAAGTTACCAGAACTCAGAGAGGGCCGTGGCTGTGGCTGTGGCTGTGGCTGTGGCTGTGGCTGTGGCTGTGGCTGTAGGAAAGGACCACCAGACAGAAGCTATGCCCTTGGGTACAGTAATACTGCCAGATTCTGTGCTTGCATGAAGACTTTTCTCAGAAGCTCCCTACCCATAAAGTTATGCAGCACAAAGCAGTGGGAAAGCCTTGGACAGGGCTTCAGGACCAGGGCTGATTAATACTGGACCTTCTATTCACTATCTAGGGTACCTAGGTGGTGCAAAATGGCGTGACTATTAACCTAAATATTAGTGGTTTTAATCCACCTAGTGACACTGCAGAAGAAAGGCCTGCTGATACGCTTTCATAAAGATTCCAAGCCAAGCTGTCACCATAGAGTCGATTCTGACTCATAGTGACCCTATAAGACAGAGTAGAACTGCCCCCATAGGGTTTCCAAGGAGCAGCTGGTAGATTCGAACTGCCGACCTTATAGTTAGTGGTGGTAGCTCTTAACCCCTGCACCACCAGAGCTCCTTTGTAAAGATTACAGCCAAGAAAACCCTATAGAGCAGCTCTATTCTGTAACACATGGGGTTGTCATGAGTCAGGATTGACTCAATGGCAACGAGTTTGATTTCATTCACTGTGTGATCTTGGGAAAATCCCTCTGATTCTTTAAGCCTCTTCTTCTTCTGTTAAATAAGGATATTAAAATAGATGTTCTCTAAGGAACATGTGCTAGATGCTAGAGATATAATATTGGTTAAAAAAAAAAACAAAAAAAAAAACCAGTCATGATCCAGGCAATATAGAGCTTTGAGTTTCATGAAGGACATTAAAAATAAATAAATAAATAAAAAGACATTGTCTTAGTTATCTAGTGCTGCTATAACAGAAATACCACAAATGGATGGCTTTAACAAACAGAAATTTATTCTCTCACAGTTTAGGCTAAAAGTTCGAATTCAGGACACCAGCTGCAGGGGAAGGCTTTCTGTCTCTGTCAGCTCTAAGGAACGGTCCTGTCATCAATCTTCCCCTAAGTCTAGGAGCTTCTCAGTGCAGGGACCCAGAGTCCAAAGGACACACTTTGCTCCTCGTTCTTCTTGCTTGGTGGTAATGAGGTCCCTCTTCTCTCTGCTCCATTCTCTCTTTTTTATCTCAAAAGAGAGTGACTCAAAATACAAACTAATCCTGTAGATTGAGTCCTGCCTCATTAACATAACTGCCTCTAATCCTGCTTCATTAACATCATAGAGGTTAGGATTTACAACACAGGATGATCACATCAGCAAGTCAAAATGGAGGATAGCCACACAATACTGGGAATCACAGCCTAGCCAAGTTGACACACATTTTGGGGGGACACAATTCAATCCATAACAGACATAGACTTAAAAATAGAGTTGAAATCTATGTTAAGTGCCAGTGAGAAAAAGTCCAGTGTGCCCTGAGAAAGGACAACAGAGGCTGAAATTTCCTCCCATCAGGCTAACAAGGGCTGGATGTTAGGGATTGAATTGCGTCCTTAAAAAAGATATGTCGAAGTTCTAACCCCCGTACCTGCGAAAGTAACCTTGTTTTGAATAGGGTTTTTTTGTTGTTGTTATCAGTTGGGTCAAACGAGGTAATACTGGAATGGGGTGCATCCTGGTCCTAAGTCCTTCTGCGTGGTGTCTTATAAAAGAGAGTGGCACACAGGGGGAAGGGAGACACAATGTGACAATGGAAGTAGGTGTATCTGTAAGCAGCAAAGAAACGTCAAGAATTGCCAGCAGCCACCAGAAACCAGGAGAGAGGCCCAAGGCAAGAATCAACAAGGTAAAGTAAGCTAACAGTACAAATTCAGGGCATCAGCTCCAGGGGAAGGCTTTTTCTCTCTGCCAGCCTTCTCATCAATCTTCCCCCAGACTAGGAACTTCTTTCCACAGGGATCTCAGGTCCAAAGGACACGCTCTGCTCCCAGCACTGTTTTCTTGGTGGTATGAGGTCCCCCTGTCTCTCTGCTCACTTTTCTCTTTTATATCTCAAGAGATTGCCTCAAGACACAATCCAGTCATGTAGACTGAGTCCTGCCTCACTAACACAACTCCCACCCATCCTCCATCGTTAACTTCATAGAGGCAGGATTTACAACATTTAGGAAAATCACAAAATACTGGGAGTCATGGCCCAGCCAAATTAATACACACATTTTTGGGGGGACGTACTCAACCCATGACACTGACCAATTGGGAAAGCTATTCAACACTGCCCATGAGTCCATGTGTATTCTTACTTCAGGGCACTTCTCTTTTCACACAACATGGATGACGAGATGCACTGCCCAAATGTCTACACTTTGGGAGATTTTTCTCTTACCGCTATCTTTCAAGGCCACTGAGTGGAGTGGAGTGCAGCCATTACCCATTTCTAGGTTGTACCCACATATCAAGTTGAGCCATTTGTGAATCAAGTTCACTTTTTTTCCTGCTATGTCATTTGATCACCATGCACCTTCACACAGTCATAGATGTGAGCTGGGTAGTAGTATACTAGTAAATATTTAACAACTAGTTTTCTGAAAAGAGTAGAGGGGAAAACCCCTTCTTTATAGCACTTGCTAATTTTCATGGTGTAAATATTTCCACTATGGTTGATTTCAAGTTACCAACATGATGACAACTGGTAAGATTGCTGAAAATTTAACAACAGACTCTTATGAGCTGGTACAAACTGATTCAGCACACTACTGGAACAGAGGGAGAGATGCTATGAAACAATGGTGGATTATATGATCTACCTGCTTATGCACCTTGTTTGTACCCTCTGGTTTTATTCCTATCCATTCCTAGATGTGCCACTTACATCTTATGAAGGATTGCAGTTAGGCCCACCCCATCTTATTACTTGGTGGGTCTGATAGAACCTAACTTAGGATCGGCAGTTCTGGTATCATATTCACTTGATGTTTCATGGTGAGGCACTTGTCTCTATCAGAGCCTAGTGGCACATCAAGAGCTAGTTTTTGAAAGATGTACAATTCTATGCAGTAGTGGCATGGCTTTGATCCAGAGCACTAAGGATCTACATTGTGTTTCTCCCATTGGGGCTTGCCATAAAATCTACATGACAGCTTTTCCTTCCAATGACACCCCTAATACCATAGGGTCTGCTGGGTTGTGTGGTCCAAGAGGCCAGTTGCTTGCCCTGCAGCCTGGACCTGCTACAGAGCCCTTTCTTGTTCTGGACCTCGCTGAAAAACGGCATCCCTCCATGTCACCCAGTATGTGAGTTGGAGAAGTACTTCTGGATTGGAATACATTGCCTTCAGAACTTGAGGAGGCTACCTGGCAAGCATTGTGCTGCTTCACTCATAATGAGAGCTACAAGATACAATAAGTTCTCCTTTATTTTGGAGGAAATGTCCCAGCATGCTTCAGATCACTGGACTCTAAAAATTACTTATGTGGTGGCCTCCCGAATCTTTTAAGATTTATCTCCCTCAAGAATGCATATGAGACCACAACTAACATGGCCTCCACCAGACTGAGTCCAGTACAACTAGATGGTGCCCGGCT